TTTAATATTCCCCTATGACCTGGTTAACAACCAACATAGAGTCGCTATGGATGCTGATCGTGGTTGATCTCATTTCTCTTGCCAACCGCAGATCAGCGAGCAGAGCTTTATACTCAGCCTCGTTGTTGGTCGCTTTGAACCCAAACCAAAAAATGCCATGAATGCGAGTCCCTTCTGGACTAAGGAGGAGCAGGCCTGCCCCGACCTTTTTCTTGTTCGAGGATCCATCAACATAAAGGCTCCAGGTCTACAAATTCTGAACGATTTCTTGGGTGACTTCATTGGCCTGTTGCTCGGATTCCTTAACCGGTTGATATGAGAATTATGAGATGAAATTGGCAACAGCCTACCCTTTGATGGTTGCTTTCGGCCTGTACTGCAGATCGAACTTACTTAGTTCCATAGCCCACTTGAGCAACTTACCCGAAGCTTATGGTTTCTGGAGGACATACTTGAACGGATAGTTGGTCAATACATGGATTTTGTGGGCGTGGAAATAAGGTCGTAACTTCCTGGAGGCAATCAGTAGGGCATAAGCTAATCGCTCCATTTCTAGATACCACATTTCAGCGTCCAACAGACGCATGCTCATGTAATATACTAGCCATTGGACCCTGTCTTCCTCCTGGATCAGAGCTGCACTGATCGCATACTGAGAGACAGATACAGAAGAAGAATTTCTTGAGGGAGAGGTTTGGATAGAAGATGTGGCTTTCCAAAGTGCTCTTTAATGCTTTGGAATGCCTGTTCGCACTCGGGAGTCCATTCGAATTCCTTGTTGGCCCTGAGTATATTAAAGAATGGCAAACAGCAATCTGTTGCCTTTGATATGAAGCGACTGAGTGCCGCTATTCGCCCATTGAGAATCTAAACCTGTTTTCGGTTGGTCGGGCTTTTCATATCAAGGAGAGCTTGGATCTTTTCGGGGTTGATCTCTATTCCTTCTGGTTAACCATTTACCCTAGGAATTTTCTTGAAGATACTTTGAATGAACACTTAAGAGGATTAAGCTTCATTCTGTATCTCCGGAGTATATCGAACATCTCAGTGGGATGCGCTATGTGATCTGAAGCGACATGCGATTTGACTAGCATATCATCAACATAGACTTTCATTGATTTTTTTATCTGCTCGGAAAACATCCGGTTAACCAGTCGCTGGTAAGTCGCCCCAGCGTTCTTTAGACCGAAGGGCATAACCTTGTTGCAATACATCCTTGATCTGTAACAAATGAGGTATGTTCTTCGTCCGATGCGTACATCGAAATCTGATTGTATCCCGAGTAGGCGTCCATAAAACTTCATAGCTTGTGCCTGGAGGTGACATCAACGAGCTGGTCGATTTTTGGCAAGAGAAAGCTGTCTTTCGAATAAGCTTTGTTGAGGTCGATGATGTCAACGCAAGTTTGCCATTTGCCGTTAGGCTTCTTTACCAAAACCAGGTTGGCAACCCAGCCTGGGTAGAGTGCCTCCTGGATGGATTCGTTTAGGAGGAGATCATCTACCTCAACTTTCAAGGCAGCATATCGCTCTGAATCCATTGCTCTTCTCTTCTGGCGAACTGGCCTGACCTCACTATCGATATTTAGGGCGTGGCATATAATATTCGGACTGATCCTGACTATGTCGGCATGATTCCATGCGAACACATCGATATTTTCCCTAAGGAAGTTGGTCAGGTCGCTGGCGAGCTGGGGGTTGAGATTACTTCCAATTCTCAACACTCAGCTTGGCTCGCTCTGATCGACGGATACTTCAGACAAGTCCTCATCCGGCCCACTACAAGGGCATTCCTGGATACGAGGATCCATGTTATCCTCAGCTGGGCTAGGCTGTGGTTCGATCCTGCTAATCGTCATTTCCTGTTCAGGGATGCCAAGTGGAGTGCATTTTCCTTTGCACGCTATCTGCACTGCCCTTACATAGCAGTCGCGAGATACGCGTTGAGATCCTTTTACTTCCCCTATCCCCATCAGGGTGAGGAACTTCATCTTTAGATGGTAGATCGAGGTGACTGCTTTGAAGTTCCTTAGTAGGGGTCGTCCCAAGATGTCATTGAAAGCGGACGGACAGTCCATTACTGGGAACTCAATAAGTTTGGTCACCTTGTTGGTGTCACCCAACGTGACCGGGAGCGAGATCGTCCCCTTGGGGATCAAGCGATCCCCGGTGAAACCATATAAAGGGATAGAGGTAGGCTTTAGATCGGCCTCATCCAGTTTCATCCTTTCGAAAGCTCGTTGGAACAAGATGTTCACGACGCTTCCATTGTCCACCAGCATTCTGTGAACCTCGTATCGCCCTATTTTGGGCATGATGACGAGAGCATCGTTGTAGGGATGATGCAATCGTACTGCGTCTTTCTCGGAGAAGATGATTTCCTCCTCTCTACGAACCTTTGCTAGTCGCGGTATCGTGCTCATCACACTTATGGGGTCATGATGGGTTGCGCGAGCATACCTTTCATGGGCACCTCGCAAATTCCCTGCGAGATGTGGTCCCCCAAAGATGATCCCTACTCTGCAGAGACCTTTGTGACCATGACGCTTATTGCCTGGTTTCTCTTGATTTTTCTCCCGAACGGGAGCAAAGTCATCGACATACTCTTTGAAGTGTCGTTGCTTAATGAGGTCCTCAATTGCTTGCTTGAGGGCTCGACACTCATCGGTGTGGTACCCATTATCCTGATGGTAGCGATAGTATTTTTTATTGTTTCTGGCTGAAGAAGGATTTTTCATCGGCTTGGGCTCTCCGAGCAGACTGGCCTCCTCTGACTTATCAAGAATAGCCGAGACTGAGGCATTCAGAGGGGTGTACTGACTCTTGTCGCTATCACGACAAGGAATTGGGGCGTAGGATTTCTTGGGCTTATATCGTTGCTTCTTTCCTTTTCGCTGATCGTCATTAGCCTATCGGCGATCAGCCCTCCTATTCTCCCCCCGATCGGGAGCACTGCCCGAAGGACCGGGGTCGTGGCGGTTGAGCGTTACCACGAAGTTTTCAATGCAGAGGTACTTTTCCGTAAGGTTGTAGAATCAGGTGAGGGAAACATCGTCCTCAGATTGTAGCTCCTTGCACAAATCCGTCTGTAGGCGAACTCCCGCAATAATGAGAGTCCGAACAGACTATTTGGGAGTGTGAGCTACTTTGTGGAACTCCTTGTGGAACCTGTCAATATAAGATTGGAGGGGCTTATCCCTCTTTTGCCTTATGTTGCTCAGGTAGCTTAGGGGCATCGAGAACTTCCTGTTTGCTTGGAAGTGTCTTAGAAATGTTGAGCTCATCTGAGGCCACGAGCTGACTGATCCTGCTGGGAGTGACCTAAACCATCGCTTGGCATGGGAGGTAAAAGTTACTGCCAAGCAACAACATTTTGCCAAGTCAAAGATTTGGTAGAGTTCCATGAGGTCGTTGAACTCGTACAGATGATCCTGCGGATCAGAATTCCCATCGAATACTCGCATGTTGGACATTCTGAATCTGGACGGGAGGGGAGCAGCTAATACTGTCGAAGAAAAGGGAGACGCCTCTGCGACCTGCCCTTGCTCATTTCGCTGAGCCTTTAACTGATCCAGAGCTTGCTGTAGCTACTCAATTTGAGGCAGCGGAGCTATCTGGAGATCATTTTTCACAACGTAGGTTCGACCTTCACGGTTGCGATTGAGGAAATACCATAGGTCGGATTCCTCCTTGCCTCGGCCGACAGTTCCAGCCAATCTTGACACACGCTGGCTAGAGCCGTGTGATGGCATTGAATGGTTTGGGGAACCTTTTCGACCTCTGCGGTGGTACGAACCAACCCGCGGACGGTGGGAATCTCCCGCACGACGACGATCAAAGTCGTCATTTTGGCGATAATGAGAATCTCCTCGCCTTGCACTTTTGTGAGAGTGCTTGTGCGATGTAGCGCGGGACGGCTCAAGCCACGACATGTCACCGAGTCGCAATGCCACAGGTATTTTATCGGGGGCACGATCGGTGTTCGCTGGTCCCTCAGAGCCTTTGGGTCCACTGCGTGCCACTTGCTTTCCCTTTCTTTGACGCGCTACAGTGCGTGCGGTATGGGCTTTTTCCCTTTTCCATGCTTTCACGCGACTTGCAGGCGTTTTCGGCGGTGGCACCGCCTCATTTGATTTGGGTGGCATGACCCGATCCAATTGGTCTAGCCTTTGGCTAACCGTTTGGAGGGTATTATTGAACATTTCTAGGTAACTCATGACGGTTGGATCAAGCCGTGAGCTTGAAGGGATATCCCCCATGATATTTTGCTGAGTTGGGGGTACTTCGGGAGAAGTGACCTCCTGTACCTGGGGGATCTCTTCATTGACATAATCGGTTTGCTCAGATTCAAAACCGCGAGCCATTTATTGCAGTGGGACCGATTAGTCAGAGATTCTTCTAATGAAGAACAGGTACTAAATTAGGCCCTTCTTCTAGCGCCAAACTATTGATGCTTGATTTTGACACCAACTAATCGCACGTGAGAAATGCTAAGCGGGCTCAGAAGTCACACGTGATTATGGAAGTATTTAATTAAATAAAAGGTGAAGAACAATGTTTAAAGTGGTTTGGAATCTCATAAGGCGAATCCTACATCTACTGATATTGTATTAATGAGTGAAGTCAGGTCGCGTTTAGCGAGCTGAATTATAGTTTAAAGAGAGAGAGAGAATGCTATTCCAGGGTGAAATTAGTCAATCCCAAAAATGGGAGAGAAGTCCCCTATTTATAATGGGATGAATCAAGGTAATGATTACTAAACCTGCGAGTGGGGTGGATGCCGTGCAAATCCTTCTCTGCGTCCTATTGCTCACTTGGCCAAGCGATTTCCTCGACTTGTGTAGAGATTGGACACGTGGACCTTTTTCCAACAATTCGCCAACCTGGTGTACACCCACTACACTGGAAGGAGCATGCCACTCACGTCATCACGCTGTCTTAAGCTCTGACCGCCCATGCTGACAAGACTGCACTCAGCCCTACATTTCCAGGCATAACAACCTTCATCTTTTTCCATTCTAGTTGGAATTCACTTGAACTTTCATTAGCCGCTGTAGACTCATCCAAGAAGTACCTAAAGGGAGCTCTAACTTGAACATTATACTTCTTACAAAATGGAACCCAAAGCACATCGAACTTTCACGCTTCAACGAGAGAGTAAAATGTGAGAGGGGAACAACCATCATCAGAAACATAGCAGGCTAACTTGTGAGCTGGAATATATTTGAAAAACTTTAGCTAAATATTTTATTTCATCTTAAACCCTTAATATAATATAATATTTTTTTTTTTTGCAATATACATATAATAATTACTATGTGGAGGCAACTTTCCTGAAGACGAGAATTGGAAAAATTATAACTTATTACAATGTGAAGTTTATTTTTATTTATAACTATCACAAATTAGAAATATAATTTTTAATAACTATTTAAAATTTATTCCTATATAGAATATCACTATAGAAAAGTTTTACTGTATTATACTATAATAAAAGACTTATATTTTTCATAAGTTCGAATATTCTTTAATTTCTGAAGGGGTTTTGGGCCTTTGGGCTGGATACATCCACCAATTACCATAGTCCACAAGAGAAGGAACAGAATACTCGATAATTAATCAAATCGAGCAGCTGATTCGGATGCTTCTGTCTAGGTGTGTAAGCCAGTTATATTTGGCAGTCAATTTCAGTGGATTTACATAGTCAAGTTTTTAATGAATTTTGCAACAATTTAAGAAGAATAATATTCATAATTTTAGAACAAATTTTAATAAATTTTAAGATCAAAGAAATATTTATTAATTTAACCAATGAAATGATAGTTTATACGAAAGTTTTCATTAATTCAAAGCCAATCATGCAGTTTCTACAGGGAAAAATATGATGTGATGGTTACAAAACTAGCCATTATAAATTTTGCTTCAAGAAAAATTTGTTTCAGAAGTCCAAGTAACAGACACTGGTACTAAATCAAATCATAATATTTCACCATAGATGAAAAAGTAACAACAATGAATGATGAAGAAATACTGTTTCATGTCAACATTAATAGAAATAATCTCAACCTCTTTTACAGAACTGTACAAAAAACAATGCCAAAGCAGAAGATTTAAATATAATATAGTGCGTAAGGAAATTCTATATTCAACTCGCAATTGATCAGTTCGCATTAGATCAAGTATGACCCATTGTTAGATAGGCAAAACTTATTACAAGTTTATTAATTGTAAACTGACACGTTGCGTTTATGAGAAAAATTAGTGAGATGGATTTGACATGTAATACTACTCTTCCATATTTTTCTTTTCTGAACAGACCTTGCACAAATGACCAGATGGATACCAGCACAGACACACTAACGTATAACAGCAACAAAAGGATTTAAATATACTGCTTGATGATAAAGTAACACTGATATTAAATCAAAATATCTTTTTCACCATTATTTGATGAACAAATAACAACAATGAAGATTTACTATTTCATGTCAACAATAACACAAATCTTCTGAACCTCTTTACATAAATGTATAAAAAGTAAAGCCAAAGCAGCAGATTTGAATATAGTGAATAAGGGAATCCCATATTTTCCTTTCCTGAACAGACCTTGCACAAATGGCCAGAAGGATACCAACACAAACACACTGCCGAACAACTCCCCAAGCCCTGACCCTTGCCCGCTTGATTGTGGTAGTAACCTAAACAAGCTGATAGCCAATGCGGTCAGGTGCACCATTACAACCACCGTGATTGGTACAAAAACCGGTGACTCATCAAAGACAAATTGACCATCATCATCGTCCCCACCATCATCAGAAGTTGATTGGCCTTTTCGTGTAACTTCAAATTCTGTCTCTAATAATCCTAGGAGCTTCAGTACCACATTTATTACTCCAAATAACCATGCACTCAATGTGATAATTCTTGCCATGCATTGGGTAATCCACCATGCCTTAATTGAGAAACCAGTTCGGATGATCTCTGATAGAGTATACAGGTTGTAGCTCACAAAGGAGGCAACAAAAATATATATGCCTGGTTCCTGGATCTGCAATAATTTAAGATATTACATTTAGTAAAATATTAATCTTGGATCTCTTTTATTCTAGTAACACGTGAAGACGCATGTTAATTTGTGGATTGCAATAAATCATCAGTCCTTACACTGGGTAAGAAATTGGAGTTGGTAATGAGGCAATAAGCTGGTAGAAGAGCGTAGCACAGCTCAGGAATTGAGCGTAATCCCCAAAGAAAGATCCACAAATACGCCAAGCACTGCCTAAATTGGAGCTTGCCTTTGAGGGTACCAAAAATGGGGTTGTGTTTGCTGAATAGAATCTCAAGCAGTCCAGTGGCCCACCTCTTTTGTTGGGTCATCGTTGCCGGCCCACCAGGTGGTGCACACCCTAGAAAGGCTGGAGGGTCAGGTGAGCAATACCCTGTTCTCCAGCCTCTATTGTGGATGGTCAACCCTGTTAAGATATCTTCTGTAGTGGATCCATACATCCACCCAAACTGAAACCGCAACCGTATATTACATTAGATGTGATTCTTCTTCAAAATTTGGGTGTTATTTGGACTTGAAATTGAATTTGTTTGCATGAACACTAATGGATCTGGGGATGAAAAACAGTGATGAACTCATGAACATGCTTGCTCAATATTACCTTTGTACCCCAGCTAGTGCCGTACTCATAGCCACAACCTGCAACCTGGTGAGCTGCCTCAAGAGATTCCGATAGGTTGCTAGGATAATAATCTGTCTTCCCTTTCAAAGCATGAGCAGCTGATTTCATGAATTCCCTTGAGATTCCAAAATCCCTTTGTAATTCATTCTCATCTGCAAAAGGAAGACAGAACATTTAAGGCATTGGAGAAAAAAGTTACCCTTGATCCATTTATTTTTGTAGTAATTGTTCATGATCAAAGGCACACCATAGGTGATAATTAGCAGAGCAGACAGAGATATAAACCTGAGTAAACATCTCTTCCTTGAACTTCTACCTCATCCGGCCGTAGACCGTAGATAACTTTTCGTCTATGAAAACATCCTGTACCTTGATAAAAAGCTCCTTGAATTCCCACTATTCCTTTGCCCACATACTATATTATCAATTAGCTACAAAGTTAGGATCTTTAATGCAGCTTAAATATCTTTGGTATCTATTCTTACTCGATTTGTGAGTGAAAAAAAGAAAAGAAACATGACTCACTTCATGCAAAATCAGTAGTTGTTCGGGTCTGTCATAAAATAATTGCGGAGACTGAACAAATCCGCAGTCTCTTTCATTCTTGGAACCCAGCAGGAGACACATTGCCTGACGGAAAATCTGTGCGTTGTTGACAAACATGTCGCAGTCCACATTAAGCATGAATGGAGCGTTTGTCATCGACCCAGAGACTCTAGTCTATTTATCGTACAAAAAGTTAGAAATCAGAATCAGTTAAGATGTTGATTGGAGTTTGTTATTTATTTGGCCTAGAGGAACAAGAACAACTTACAAGCACATTCATAGCTCCTGCTTTGTAATGATGTTGATGTTCTGGCCGCTTCTCCCTGGATATGTAAATTAAATGTGGCACCGCATCTGGAAGACCCTCCTTGTTCTCCCATAGGACCTACAAAATGATTAATCTAATAAATTAAATGTTTGGGTTCTATAGAGGCTTAATCATCAGTTAATTTATATTATAATACTGGTTAAAGTGCCGAATCAAAGAAAAAAAGTTATTAAGTATATGCAAATCAATCAATTGTACGTACCTTGACTATTTCTGGATGGTTTCGGAGCTCTGTATTGGAAAAAACAACTAACTCACCAGTTAGACCAAAGGGAAAAGGCTGTTGCGTTGCATTTTCAATCTTTCTGCAAAGTTGCTCGTACTCATCCTATAAAAAAATGACTTAAAAATATAAATGAGACTCTAAGCCAATAAGGCCCCATAATTACAGCTTACAACTTTTTTATTTATTAATTGTTTGTTGTCTTATATAACTAGATTACAAACGTGAATTAAAAAAAATATTATTCAGACTCCCTATCCCACCAAAACAATATTTTTAGATAAAATTTCATTTACTCCAATAGAGACAAGGCACCGAGGCAGCTTGACCAGACGCTAAGATATGAAAAGCTTTATCTGTATCTCTTAACTTTTCTTTTACCTTCATCTTTTTCCATTCTTGCTGNAACACCCAACCAAGGCCTATTCACTCAAGAATCTCTCAATAATCTGCAAGAAAACAGAGGACAAATACCAGCCTCTAGAAGGAAACGCAACCCTCTCTCACAATCAACCCAGATTACACCCAGAAAGACCCAGCAAAAACAACCCTAGTTTTTCCCTCTTTTGCAAACCCTAATACCCGAATAACAAAAACTCATTCTACGTTTTCATCACTGTTGCTTTCTTTATATATGTCTGCATTCGTAATCCTCAGCCCTTGGATCTGTCTTGATCTGATGGCTAAGTTTCAGTAATGGCTTTAAAAAGAAACGACCCCGTTTTGGCTTCCAATGGACTTAAGTGAAACGAAACCGTTTTGGCTTCATATTATTTTCACTAACTAATTTTATTATTATAAAGAGGTAATAACTTAATAGAAGTATAGTTACAAAAATTTCTTATTTCATAATTTATGTTTTAGTAATACAACATTAGGATTCCAATTCATGTTTTAATAATATTAGGGTTTCAATTCAACACTTCAAATGCTTACTTTTGAAATGGATAGAAGATCGTGTCTTGGAACCAACAAAGATAAGTGTCCTTGATGAAATTGCAAATGTAATTGCTACATGGTCAATTAATGTGAAGCTACAAACAATTGCTAATTGTTTTAAGCATTGCAAAATTAGAACCCACGATATCGATGAATTGCAAGTTATAAATGAAGTGGATGAGGAGAATCAAAGTCATTATAGAATTGAGTGATCAGATTCAACAACTTCACCACACTAATCAAATGGATATTAATGTTTTTCTCAATCATCCAAATGAGCAACAAGTCATGTATGCTTTAATGAAGAAGAAATCATTTCTACAATTAAACAAGAAGAGAAAGGAAATAATCACAAGGACGATAGTATGAAAATACAAAACGTTTCATACCAAGAAGCTCTAAATATATTTGAAAAGCTAGAATATATTTGAAAAACTTTAGCTAAATATTTTATTTCATCTTAAACCCTTAATATAATATAATATTTTTTTTTTTTGCAATATACATATAATAATTACTATGTGGAGGCAACTTTCCTGAAGACGAGAATTGGAAAAATTATAACTTATTACAATGTGAAGTTTATTTTTATTTATAACTATCACAAATTAGAAATATAATTTTTAATAACTATTTAAAATTTATTCCTATATAGAATATCACTATAGAAAAGTTTTACTGTNTAATTTTACATGATGAAAGGTAGCTGGTGTAACTTATAGCGGTAAAAATTTTACATAAGGGGCTTTATGATACTTTACATATTTTCTTATACTACAAACGAAATATGTTTTTATTCCAACTCTTTATGAGAAATAAAAAAACAAAAAAAAAAACAAAAAAAAAAAAAAGAAAGAAAGAGAAAAAACATTCAGTATATATAAATTTATAACTTAAAAATTTTTGATATAAATTTATAATCATCCATATATAATATTATAATTTCAAACGGAGGATTTAAAAAATAACATTTATTAATATCAAAAATTTTAATGTATAAATTTAATTTAAATTACAATAAGTCAACCCATTAGTAAATCAAGGAAACAAATAAAATTGCAACTTAAATGCTAAATTGATTTTCATTGAAAAGTTTATTGGGTAACTAATTTTAACTAAATTAATGACTTAATTAGTCTTCTATTGCATATTTCAAAATTATAATTACTTCTATAATCAAATTATGCTCCACGCTTATAAATAACTTCTAAATCAAGCTACCCTCTCCCCACTATAGTTATTTACTTCTTAATTAATAGTAATGATGTCACTATCGTTACCATTAATTAATCCTTGTTTAAACGTTATGTTCTAATAAATAACATCATTTATTTTAGGGGATTACAAAGTCAACCCCTGTATGAATCTCACCTAGAGGTAGAACAAACTGGCCGGTTAGGCGGGTCAACCCTAGCCCAGCCCGCATTAGAGAGGGTTCAACCTGGACCGCCTTATAGGCAGGTCGGGTTGAGCCCAACCCGACGGGTTGCTATTTGTTTACAATAGCCAACCCGCTGGGTTGGCCCAAAAAAAATTAAAAAAATAACAAATTAATTATTTTTTTTAAGTTTCTCCCATTTTTTTAATTCTTTTAATTAAACTATTATGATTGAACTCTTACAAATAATTTTACACAATAATAATAAACTATACTTCTAAATCATAAATATTAAAATGTATAAAACTTCGTAATATTTGACACATTATTATTATTATTTTTATAGTACGTAAATTATAAAAAAATTAAATACTGAAGTCTTATTCTTAAATTTCCATGTCTTGTATAAAATATAATTCATTCTTATGCTAAAATTTCATCAATTGAATGAATAATCTAATTTTTCTTATATTACAATTTTATTATATTAAAATTGAATTAATATTTGAAAAGTTAATAAAAAAAATTAATTTAATTGAATTATTGATATTTGAAAAGTTAACTAAAAATAATTACATTTATTCATTTATAAATCGTTAATTATTTATTTGAAAAGTTAACTAAATAAAAAAAAAAAATCAAACAATAGGGTTAACCCGGCCCTACTCGCAACCTAACCCGACGGGTTAGGGTTGGCGGGCCGGGTTGGGCCAGCCATTACCCCAAAAATGGCAGGCCTAACCCAGCCTGCCTTTGTTGGCGGGCGGGTTAGGACCAACCCGCCAAAAGAAGTAACGGGTCGGGCCGACAGGGTTACTTTTCCACCTCTAATCTCACCAATGGTTTCATAAACTATTAAAACTAACAACGTTACCCCTGTTATAACTACACCAAAAATGCTCAATTTCGACCAACTTTTTCCGAGGGATATTAAATACTCTCGAGGTGTGTTTAGTTGGGGGTAATAGAGGATTACTGAGATAATGTCATCTTATATTACTTGATTATCACGTTTGGTTGTCAAATAATATAAGATTTTAGTAATATTCTAAAATCAATAATAATTACTATTGATAATATAAGAGGTAATCTAACTACCTCCATTTTCTTAGGTATTTTAATATTACTTGGTAATCTTATTTTTGTTACAATTTTATCCCTTATTAATAAAATTTTAGGACAATAATGCCCTTATTTTAAAAACAATTTACAAAAATACCAATAGACTATTTTATCCTTATATACGAAGTTTTTAGGACATAAATACCCCTAGAATTTAAAAAAATTACCCAAGGGTGGTGGCCAGATTCGATGACTACGCAATAGCGCATTACTAGCCGAATCTGGCCAGTCGTGCGTCACTAAGCCCGTTTTCGGCCAGATCCATGGTAAAAAATAGTCAAATCTAATCGTGAAAAAGCCAGATATTTGGCCGTGAAATGACAACCGTTTCACGACCAAAGATTTGGCCTTTTCACAGCCAGATCTCCACTGTCGCACCCAGCAATGGCTTGGGGCAACCGTTTCACGACCAAAGATCTGGCCTTTTCATGGCCAGATCTCCACTGTTGTCGCCAGCAGTGGCTTGGGGTGAATGAGAGTGTTTTTGTTAAGTTTTAAACTTTTTTTGTTGTTAGGGTGTTTTAGTTAAATCTGAAATGCAGGGAGTTAAAAAAAATAATTCAAAAAAAAATAATAAAAATAATATTATATTAATATTTAAAAAGGAGGGTAATTTAGTAAATTATATAACATACCCACCAATTTATTCCTCCCAACCAAACATATTAATATAATATACCAACTAATTTATTCCAACCAACCAAACACATTTCCCTAAATATTCACGGTAATGTTCAAGGTAATATATCTTTCCATTAATATAATATTTATCATAATACAACATTCTTTGAACCAAATACACTCTCGATGTTAAGTTCAATTCCTACAGCAAGGGTAAGGTTCTCGAACATTGCCAAAAAAATGATACTTGATTCCGATGGCTACATAGCTCTCGGAAAATTCAAATTATTTCGTCTGAATTATTAACAATTCCTACAACATTAAGATTGCCCTCGGTAATGAGTGTTTTTTTTTTTTTTAGTGTTTTATGCTAACTTTATATATTATTGTGAAAACTACCAAACAAGGGGCTGATATATAGGTTTTTGATATCATGGAGGTAAAAAATTTCTTACACCTAAACCCTAAACTCAAATCAAGAATAAGGTATCCTCTTGGTTTCGGAAATTAACAATATTACCCTAATTTTGGAGATAATTAAGATGTTAATTAACGTTATAAGAAGAAAATGTGACCATTTTAATGGTTAATGAATATGTTGCAGCCTTGCAATTGCTCCACCTATATATAAAAGAGATCAGTTTTGTGTAGTAACTCTTGATTTTGCTGTTTTATCAATGTGTTTAAGAATGAATATCTTGGTTAATTAAGCTATAATTGAACCCGGTTGAGCTCGGTCTACGAAAGATTTTTAAAATTCTTATAACATAATTATTATATAAAATGTAATTAAGTAATTAACTTCCATTTGTACCAGTTCGATTTTTATTTTATTGAAGATTTGGAGACAAATAGCTCGATTTCTAATACAAGCTTCAATGGACAAAGCTTCTTCTTCCATGTTGTAAGTATTTTTGTCGTATTATGAATTCTGTGTGATGACTGATTTTTTATGTCGTAACATTACTCTGTTTATATACAATCGTTTTATGGTATTCTGATGTCATGACACGCAATGTCCGTGTGATGAACTCGCTCAACAAGAATTCATTTACACCAGTTGTGTCTTTATTTGATGTTAAGATTTTATCCTTATATGAGACATGTGTAAATGGTCTATGTACAAATGTAATTAGCTCATTTAGTGTATTAGAAAATTCCGTTTAGCTTTATAGTAGTCCCAAGAAAGTTTGGTGAAAACTTTCCCAAAAGGGCTAAACATGAAAAGTGCTTGTTGGCTAGTTGTCCTCTTGCATTGGTAAAGTTTCTTTATATTTGTCTTCAACAATGCATTTTAGATTAAGCCTGAATATACTTCTGAAAGTTCTCTGAATATCCTTTGAGGTTTTCTTTGTTTTTAATCAGGTTTCATATGCTTTGGTAGACTTACAAATACTTTTGTTAAACCTTATTTGTTCGTGTTTGGAACGTGGTTCCATTGGTGATGCTTGATGGGAATTTAAGCTATTGGAGCTGAAGTGCGTCTTTAGTGTTGATCCTTGAGAGGAGCTCAAGGTTGTCCAGGAGGTCTCTTGGCATAAAGCTTGCTGTGGTAGTTCGAAGTTCAACCAAAGTGTGACGTTTGAAGTGTTGTGAAATCAGAGAGTGTTCTTGAACTATAAATGTTTATCATAATAGATTAGTTTCATCTAGACATAGTCCCATGGATGTAGGTAGGTTGTCGAACCATGTAAAATTGTCTTGTGTGCTTTACATTTTGCCTTGGATGTTTAGTTTATGTTGTGATGAACAAGCTAACCCAAATGCACAAATCAACATGTTTAACTCATTCCGCTTAAGTTTAATCAACTTGGTAAAGTGATAAAACTTTCACATGTCGAAGCCTCTTATTTTAGATACAGAACAAAGAGAAATGAAATAATCAAATAATAATTTCAATACAAATCATTATTATTATTATAAAAGGAAGAAGGATTCCTTTTTATTTCCAAGAACACTCTTATTTCAGAAATTTTATTCTCAACATTATTATCATTTGTATTATCAAAGAGCTTGACAATCCTGACAGCAGAATTATCTTCAAACCCTGCAAATCACAAGAAAACAAAATTGTTATACCCTCAAATATAACGTAATTTTATATTTGAAAAAACGTGACAATAATTTGATACAACAATATCATCTATCATATGACTGTCGATTATATGATATTGTCAAATCAACTGTATCGTTGGTTAAAACATAAAACAATGTATACTTACTGAGTGTAATCGATGTTTATTATTCCAGCGACAAGGTTAGCAATCTGAGCGAAGGCTTGTTGGGAGAGATCTAGGGTTCCTTGACACCCTGGACAATAATCAACAATTTTGACAGTAACATTTGCGCCTGTGCAAGGCTCAGGTACACCATTTGTAGCTCCGGTGCATGTCACCCTGTACATTCTTCCACATGCAGCCCCGTTCTCCCACAATACGTCACTTGCGGCGGCGATCATCACCCCTTGGTCTTCATTGCCGTAGCATGCAGATGCTAGCCACGCAGAACAAATTCACAAAACAACCAATAAGTTAATATTCCATTGATTTTCATTTGCAATGTCTTTAATTAGGTTTAACTCATGCATACGTTGTTTTAAATTATATACGAAAACAGTTTTAAAAAACATTCAAAAAAAAAAAAAAAAAAAGTTAAATTTGGTTTTGGGATTGATCAAAATACTCACGAACATAAGTTGTATAGTAAGTGGCAGTGCCAGAGACTGCGAATGCCACAGAGAAAAAGCAGCTGCTAATGACAAGCCCTATAATAAGAAGAACACTTCTCTGAGTTGCCATTTTTGTTATATTTTTTCTTTGTAAATTGTAATAGAAAAAGCTTGCATGAAACCATGAGGATTTCCATCAATTTATAGAGGAAAACTAATCAGCAATTCTTTCTTCTCACGTTTTCCCGAATTCCGAAAAATCTAATTGATGATGACATTCATTCGCTCCCTAATTCATATGGTCTACGTTAGCATAATCTCTATAACTTTAAAATCCAAATTTCAAACTTCGGAATAATTTAAGAAAATATGTATATAGTCAACCCCTAAAGTATAAGCCGTGGCGTTTTTAACATGCAGATCGAAAGATGGTTGCAAGAACCATGGCCAATGTCTAACTGGCAATTTCTAGCTTTTGATCAGCACTTTAAAAACTTTAGGATTTTCTTATCTAAAAATTTTCGTATGTATATAATTACTAACAAAACGTTTTGACATGCAATATTGATACTAATATCATTTTAACGGTTGGTTTTTTACTAGCAATAATAGCTAAGAAGTTATTTAAATTAATGTTGACATAAACTTAATCATGTTTGAGCTTAAACTAGTAGATTAATTTGAATGAATTTGAATATGTATTTAATTTTAATTAAGATTAAATATTAGTGCAATCTTATGAAAGATAATTTCCCAGTTTATTATAAAAACAAAGAAATAATGTTCTATATGTACAAAATTGATTATATAAACCTCAGATTAATTAACTAATAGTCGAAAATTACATTCATTAAGAAAAAAACAAAAATTAGATATTGTAAACTGGTCAATATAAGAAAAAGATTTAATCCAATCGCCCCAAATTTCGCCCATAAATGCTAGACTTTAAGCATTTGAAGAGAGGAAGCAACAAAAATTGATTGAAAAAAATTAAATTAAAGAATGACTATTAATGAAAGTGAACAAGATACGTGATCCAACTGCACATGATAATTTATAAATCCAGTCTAATTAAATATAAATTTTGTCTTAATCAATGATCGAATTATCAATTTAATCAAGTTATCTCCCAGTATCAATCTTGACTACGTACCTTCAAAAGTTCTAGACATGTAATTTGGATACATTTGTGCTTATAATAAATTTATTTATTTTATAAACCCTATGAGATCTATAAATATTAAGCGTATTAACGATTTTCAAAAACTATTTAACACCTTTCTTAGAGGACTTTAGATATTTTTATAAGAGATTTTTAATAATTCTGGACAAGTATTTAATAACTTTCGAAAACTATTAGACAGTTGATATTAATCGATCTCTTAAAAATGGATGAAATTAATCCTATAAATTTACGTGTACTTTTTTTTTTATCTGTTTTGACCCACAATTTAAGCATAGGTGATTATGGCATGATTATAGCGTTATATAATTTTTAAATTTTGACCCATAATTTAAGCATAGGAAATTGCGGCATTAAAATATTGATTAATTTTTAAATTAAAATCATTTGACTTATTAGTTTCAACAATCAAGAGTTACTGTAGTTTTTTTTTTTTTTTTTTAAATTCCCCTGAAAACGATAATTTTATCTCTCAATTGGCATGTGCATATGGCATGCATTAGATTTGTAATATATAATTGATGTAAGTGAGGAGTATACAACGATGAAAATCGGATGTCCCAAATAATCAAACCGATCTAATAATTAATTAATGTCGTAGCTTATTGGTAGTAATCAACATCAATAAATCGATCCAACCACCTGTTTATAATATGAAGTAAATATAATATCGTTTTTCTTTTTATGACTGAGGGTGTTCGAATCAGTTTACACGCACCTCAAGTAATCCTTGAGACATTGATATTATAGACTAGGTAAGCCCTTAATAGTTATCTCTATTAGCAACTGAGGTGAATTGAGCTCAAGAATTCTTTGAGTAATACATTTAAAAATTGACTGCTCGACTACCAAATGATGGTTATAAAACGTAATATCAATAACATCGTAGCTATGAACAATTGTAGTTTAACGGACCAAATTAGTGTAAATGTTTAATTAGTAGATAAAAGGGCAAAAAATAAAGAGGGTAATGGGCTCAAACTATTGCCATATCACACTATAGCAAAGGGTATATTAAAAAGAAAAAAATCTTTAACAGAACCAAAATGAAAATACAAATATCTGATTGATTTTATTAATAAAATACAAAAAGGGCATGTCTCAATCTTATGATTCTTATCCTTTCTTATTTTAAAGTCAATTTAAACACCAATAGCTTTCTACTCTTTTAAAGGCATCTTCTCTGAAATTGATTACAAAATGACAAAAAAAAAAAAAAAAGGAAACTACATACGAAAGTTAATATTTATTTGTAATTAGTTAATTAACCTTCTCTCTTTCTACCATATTTCTTTTCTGTCTATATAATAAATGTCATATAGGATCAAAATTCGATCTTTGACCCTTCAAATAAATAAATTAAAAAAATATTAAAAAATTCACATTCAAGATTGTGGGTATTTTTTTTTTCCGTCACACATCTTTAATACGATCAAATTTTTCACGATACAAGTTTTTTTTGCTTTGCCCTAGTACAAGGAAACCCACATATTTTAAAATGGAACACTTACACCCTTATAATTTCATAATAGAAACATATACCTTTGTAATTGAATGTTGTTTGTGAAAAGCAACTATCACAAGTAAGGATGAAATCGAGTCAAGTTGAATATCTGGTAAATCAAACTCGACTCGATTGCTACAGTACTGAGTTCTTAAGAAATTAAGTTCGAACTCGAATTCGTAACTTGAAATTGGAAATCGAGTTTGAATTCGAGTTCATATAATCGAGTTTTAGTCGAGTTTGAGTTTGAACTCGATTTTGAGCTCATCTAATAGGAGTGGATTTGCAAATTTTAGAACTTTTAAATTACATATGACCCCAGTACTTTAAAAACTCTCAACTTAACCATCGAGCTTGGAAATACTCGCGAATATATCGAGTCGAGTTCTATTGTGATCGAACTCGACTCGATTAACTAATTGAACTCGAACTCGACTCGATTAATGCCGAATCGAGTTTTAGCCAACATCGAGTCGAGCTCGAGTTCGAATAACTCGCAAGCAGCTCGACTCGATTTTCAACCCTAATCACAAAGGTAAAATCATTGTTTTAAAACCCGGCCCGGCCCGGCCGGTTGAACCGGTTGAACCAGGACCCGGAGGCTTCAACAGGTCGGGTTTCTACTTTTCCTATTCACCCAAAACCCTAGGATTTGGGTGGATGATCGGCGAGCAATTGACGGTCGGAACCTTAGGGCTTTTGAAGATAAAGCGCCGATGAATGTAATGGTGGTGAGATCGTTGATTTCCGGTGAGTAAATCGACCGGAAATTGAACAAATCTGGCAGGGCAACGATGGGATTTCGCCGGCGATTGGAGAGGCTAACGGGGGTGGGGTGAGGTGGGTTTTGGTCGGGAGAAGGAGAGGAGTGATTCCTGAGTGATGGGGAGGGTTGTCGACGCCGGCGTGGATGAGATCTGGCCTGGAATACCCACGCCGGTGTCGGTGAGATCTGACCGAAATCAAACCTATTTCGGTCAGATCTTGGGTAGGTTTTAGTGAAAATGGGCTCAGGGGACGATTGGGTTGCATCTGGGCTGTCGCCGCCGTCAATCGGTCGCCGGTCGATTTGCATTTAGGGTGTGTTTGATAAAGTTTAAACATATAGGGACTTATAGGTAATTTTTAGGGGTGTATTTGCTGAATTTTAAAATTTTTGTCAACCGATTTAACCAGCGGTCAACCCGGGACCCGGAGACTTTGCCGGGTTGTACCCCGGGTTGGGTTTTAAAACATTGGGTAAAATATACGACATAGTAGAAAAAAGTTTTTTATTTCTTGAATATCTTAACAAATTGTCAAAGTTTAATATTTTTATATTATTTAATCTATTTAATATTTTGATCAAGTGACAAATGTTAAATATTAGTTTCTTTTTTACTATAAAGAAAAACAAAATAAAGTTATGTTAGTCATTGTACTAAAATTATGCGTTTGAATTAACTCCTCATAAAGTATTTGCCAAATTAGGTGTAAACGTTTAATTCCTAAACTATAAAGAGTGTAAGTGTTTCATTCTAAAACATTTGATTCTCCTTGTTTGTCACTAAAATCTCAGGGGTGTTTGAAAAACTAACAATATATATATTATTATTTTTATTTTTATTTATTTTTATTATTATTTTTTTTTTTAAAGTGACAATATATTACTATTAATCTTCTATTTAGTATTTACCCATATTATAGTTCGAAAACCTATAAATAAATAAATATCAAAACCGCCATTTATATTACATAAATTTGTGGTCCACAACAAACGATACACGCAATTGCATAAAACACGAGACGCTTTTTTATTTTCTTCGATTTTCTCTTGAGCTTTTTATCGAACGCGTTATCTGCGATTTAAAGAAACCGCCACCATGCCTACGTCGCACCGCCGCCAAGACCTGCGGCCGCGGCCGCAGTCGCCGCCACCGAAACCCAACACGGCTCTCCTCTCTATCCTTTTGAAGGCTATAATTATGACTCTCATTACCTCCTTCTTCTTCCTCCTCCTCGGCCTTGCTTCTCTCCTCCTAATTCCTCTCCTGTTGACCTCTCTCCACCGTCACCACCACCATCACCGCCACCTCGCCGATCTCTCTGATGGGTTCTCCCCCAGCGGCCTCAAGAGGCTCCCCCAGTTCAGGTTTTCGAAACGATCGGAGGTTGAGAGCGACGGCGAATGCGTGGTTTGTTTGGAGGGGTTTAAACAAGGTCAGTGGTGTCGGGCTCTCGTCGACTGTGGGCATGTTTTTCATAGGAAGTGTGTGGACACGTGGCTCGTTAAGGTGGCTGCGTGTCCGACTTGTCGTACGAGGGTTTGCTAGATTTTGTAAGTTTAATGAAAATTTTGAGCTTTTTTTTTTAATTATTATTATTAGTATTATTATTATCAATAAATGGTACGGGATTTAGGTTTTGCAATGTATAGTTTCAACATTTTTAAAATAATGAATAATTGCCCGAGTTGTTGATTAGATTTAAAGCTCTAAACTTGTTCTCCCTGAATGTTTAATTTGATTTTTACTTGTTTTTCTTGTGTTTTAATTTTTATTATTATTATTATTATTTTTTGCGCCCTTTAATTGTTAGAAATAAAAGTAATGGCAATATATAGGGTGTTTTCGCTGATGCTTGGTGGGTTAGATTTATTGATAATATATACCTTTTGATTGTTAGGAAGAATAAATAATCATGTTTATGTGGGAATGGAGTTGGATTCTGCCTCTTAAATGGTTCGGTGTCGGTGTGTTGGTCATCGGTATAGAAAATGAAATGATGGTAGATGGCCTGAGATTAATGCGGTTGGACATGGTCTTGCATCAAGTATTTTTTAAACGCTTTAAGTTGACACCAATTAGTTATTAATGATGGTTTTGTATCTTTTTGGGGATTCGAATTTATAGGTAAGTATGGAGGATTATTTATTTTTTTATCTTACAAGGCTGATGTGCCTTTGTACATAGGGGGAAAAATCATGTTAGACCTTTCTATTCTGAGTATGGAAGACTTGAGAATATTAACCTTGAATTAAGATAGCGTCATGTCGTGATGGATCTGTTAATGGTTCTGCTGTATTCTAATATAGCCATGGGAAGTATTGGTAATTTATGGTTGATTGAGCAAGAGGTTTTCTAGATTAGCAGGGATCTTTGTTTGATATTAAGTTGGTCTTCTGCCTGTCTGGAATATTGTTGGCTTTGTAGTCTGGAAACTTCTTTTGTGAATGGGTTGACCATATGGTAACTTAAAAAGTCTGTGAGTATCATTTTTCAAATAATTTATGTTCATAAATAATTCATTGCCTTTACTGCAAGTAATAGCCAGTGTGAACTAGTGTCCAGTTTTAATAGAGGTTAGAGTTGCCTAGTGGATGGACCAAACTCCAAGTCTCATTTCATTGCTCTAAAAATGTGGCTAATAGGATTAATACGCTACCACAAAACTAGATTCATACTGAATAAAGTCTCGTCTTTTTGGATTGTGGAATTGCAAGAAATTGCTTTTGTTAACCCATTTCGGCATGTTGTATCTTTTAAGAGTGTTTTCTTTTTTCCCTTTACCTTTCTTATTATCCGATCAGAGTTTAATTTGATTATGAGTTGTTGTATTAACCAAGTGGATTCCATTCTTGGGGATCGTTTGGTCGATATGTTTCTTTAGGAACTTTGATGGATAATGATGGGGAAGGAAAGTACTAAGAAATTTCCAGTCAAGGCAGTGTAGTTATGAGATGAAATTATTCCAATGTCCATAATTTGTAGATACAGACACAAGTGTCAAGTTAGGACATGGACATGTCAACTGTTCAAAATATAGACATGATGAAACGGCTTTAGATGTGTATGTTTGTTCATTTATAATATTAGACATATATACTAAACTATGACTACATGTTATTCTTCTGGTATAACAACCACAGGATCTACTTAGCGTGTGAAAACTATATAGGATCTACTTAGCACTCTTAAGGTGATGCATATATTTTAAGTTAACGTTGGTGTATCTTCAAATTGTTTATATGATGTGTGACTAGGGATGAAAATCGAGTCGAGCCGCTCGCGAGCTACTCGAACTCAACTCGATGTTGGCTCGAACTCGACTTGGCATTAGTCGAGTCGAGTTAAATCACAGTAGAACTCGACTTGATATGATCACGAGTATTTCTAAGCTCGATGGTTAAGTTGATGGTTTTTAAAGTGATAGGGGTCATATATAATTTAAAAGTTATAAAATTTGCAAATCCACCCTTGTTAGATGAGCTCGAAATCGAGTTTGAACTCGAACTTGATTAAAACTCGAATAAAACTCGATTATACGAACTCGAATTGGAACTCGATTTCCAATTTCAAGTATCGAGTGCAAGTTCGAACTTGATTTCTTAGGCTCAATCTCGAACTTGAACTCGAACTTGGTACTGTAGCGATCGAGTCAAGTTCGATTTATCAGATACTCGACTCAACTCAACTTAATTTCACCCCTATGTGTGACATTGTAACCACAGATGTTGTGCCTTTATGTATTTGACATGCCAAATTTCATTAGGAGAAGTTTTCGCAAACTTTACTTATATTTTTGTCCATTTAAAGCCGATATGACACATATAGAAATTAGAACAATTTTATCTATTTCAGAGGTTCAGGTGTATTGCTATCCTTTTCCCTGACCCTGAACCTTACATCAGCAAAGAATTTTGGGAAGATGCTTTGAGTTGCTTTGGATTTTCCATAGTTTTTTGAAAACTTAACTTTGAGATGCTACACTTTTCTGCAAAGAAAGTATATTTGGTAATTGAGGTGTATTTCTGTCCTCTGATAAACTCCTATATTACCAATCAAGGGTGCATTTTGGTATTACTTTTTACTTTTAAGACATATAGTTTCATCAAGCTGGAAAATTGCATGTTTTTTAACTAAACATTTCCACACTGATAATTTGTCTGCGCTCCTAATCTTGTTCTGGCTTGATTGGTTTAGTCTGGTATAGCTTTTTAGTCTTTTAATACATTAAGGTTATCCGCTGCATGGATCTCGTTGATGTCTCTTGTTTGTTGATGTTGTTATTAGAACATTGAAAGATTGGATTAATTGCTTGATAGGATAAACAGTGCTTAATAAAATAAAGTAAAAAAGAAAACTAATACAGGCTAGTGCGACAAGGGTGTTTAAGAACGTGTTGAGGGGCGACTATAGAGATAGTGCTTTTTTTGATAGATGGCAAAATTTGCCCCTTCAATCCTCCCATAGGCATGCAAATGGAAAATTGAAAAAATGCTAAAACTGGACTACTAATAGCTGAAATAGATCTTTTGCTTCAGAAATCTAACTTGTAACTTTTGTAGGTCTGGCAGAGAGTTTGTCTATCAGCTCAATCATGCTGTCATAAGAAGTCCCACCTTCTTTTACAGACCTCCTTGCTGCTCTGCCCAACTCCTCAGCCTTCGCCCATCACTTTCTTCCCACTTTCTCCAATTAATTCTCTCACTCCATTGCTTATTGTCTGCCGTCGTATCGATCATGTTGCCCATCCTGATGATCCTCTTATTTCAACCCTCAATCCTGCATTCAACTCATCTACAACGTGTTTTGCGTTCAGTGGTCGTTTGGCATTCAAGGGTAATGCAAGAACTCCCATTGATAGGCTCTACAAAACCTAGTTCCAACCACAATGGCTCAGGAAATCTCCAACTGCAGGGTGAGCTAATACCTGTCTCTGCTCCGCCCAATCCTTTACAATCAACCCGTTTCCTTTCACTTTCTCTTCCAGCCCATTTGGAAGGCGCCATGTTTTTGACTTGACCACCCACAAAAAATCATGACCAGACAGCTCCAACCCATAACCAATTTCATCAATGTCAGCATTACACAAGTGTGCTTGTGGACCAAATGATATATAGATTACTGATGCTGGTTTTGTAACACGGTCATCAGGCCAATCTAAGTAATCAATAAATGATAAGGATTTGGAACGGTTGCCATTGATCTCATCATATAGGAAGGCAGGTCCTACACAGTACACACCATGCTTTAGCTCTATTTTTGTAGAAGTGCTCAAAAAAAAAGTGACAGTCCTCCAATTCAGCAAAACTGTTCAGCATTACACCCCAACTTTCAACATCAGATTCCCAGAGTCAGCCAAGAATTGTGAGAAAGGACTATCATCATCTAAGAATCTGTAGTGTTCTGGCAAGTCTGATTGGGTCAATGTAAATTTTAGTTGTGCCTCTGGCAATTGAATTGGGTCACAATCAACGTCTAGGAGGCGGTGTAGCTTATGCCTTTGATAATGCTCCCATCCCATGGAAGACAACTCTAGGACTGTCAAATTCATAAGAGTCCAACCTAAGAAAAAGTCTGAGATTACCCAAATTGGGCGACAATGACTCCCATTCATTTCCTAAAGGACATTTTTGAATGATTGCTGGAGTTCCTTTGTCACGTTTAAAAAGGGAACTAGAAAATCCACTGAAGGGAGTTAGGCGGTGTTCTCACGACCTTCTGGGAGACCATTGATTGATGGAAATGGGATTCTGGCGAGATGGATTTGTGGGTAATCAGCTATGTGAGGGAGGATAGAGGGTGTATTTGATGGAGTGCTGAGATGGTAATTTTAACACCATGGTGTGTAAGAGCCTTTGAGATTTTTAATAACGGTCGAATATGACCTTGCAACATGAAGGGAAAGATAACAGTGTGGGGTTCTATTGCACAGCCATTGCAGCTCTTTCTTTTGGGATGCTCCCAGAGTTTAGTGTCATTTACTCTTTATTAAAAACTTAGGTTTTACCAATATAAGCATTATCTTGCTATTGTTAGGATTGATCATTTTAGTCATGCACTGCAAACTTCATCTGAAATTATCTATGTATTGTTATCCCTTTTGAGGACAACACCGGTATGCTGGCTCGCTTTCTGTCATTTTGAAGTAAACTGAATATGAATTGTTATCTGTGATTGCAACTGTTCTTGATTTTGCATATGGTCAAACTATCCTTTATCTTGGAGCCTTGGACTATACCAGTTGATGCTATTGATGAATATAAGAGCATCCCGGAATCTCCTGTTTACTTTTATCGTTCAGGTATAAGTACAAGCTGCCAAGAAACCCGGCAACATTCTGCAAGCATTGCAAAAATTGTTAATGGGTTCCATGCACCAAATGATTTGGTTGATAGTGCCTTGTTTTTATCGTATATTAAAGTGTTTGACATTTTTGTGTCTCTTGTTTGGGCTTCTGCCAAAAAGGGTTCAAGCTTTGTTCTGCAAGGCCCTCTTTGTAAATATCGCAGGATTACTAGGTAGATGGGTTGGATGAGCCGAAACTGAACAGTAATTTTAAATAGAGGTCATATTTAGCAAGTCAGCAATGGTCTTTTTTTTTTTTTTTTTAAGGAAAATAATTTTTCGTCCAATATAATTTTTAGTAACACTATAGTCCTTGTCAAGCGACAACCAATAAATTTAACGATATTTGATATATAAGCGTGATCTTGATAAAATTTATGGGACGTTTTGATTAAAGAATTATCTTTTTTGTTTTTGAAAAAAAGTTAAACCAATAAAACAAATGAAAGAGAATTTTATGAGAAAAGAAAAAACCACAATGGCTAAAGGGTTTTTTCATCCAATCCACACAGGTTAAATAGCAATTGATAACATTTAACGTGAAACTTGTAATAAACGAATTTTTCCTAACACTTAACGTGAAATTTATAATAAATAAAGATAAATTTTGGACTTTTATAAGTTTTTTCTTACTATACAAGTTTGACGTTCTATATTAAGTTAGGTTTTCGGTTACAAATTCTATTTTGCTTTTACATCAAAATTTCAACATTTTTATCAAGAAAATGCCTCTGTATGTGACTTATTGTGTTAACCATTCATTGTATGCAATCAGACAATGAAGATAAAGTCTTTTTACCATAAATTGGATTGACAGCAAAATGAAAGGTTTATATTAACTCATGTGATGAATTGACAAATAGACTAACGTTTGACATTAATTATGTGGGGTGTTTATAGTAAACTTTGGTGTGCTTGGCTTTTTTTAGTAAGCATCTGTTAGTTTCAAAAATACTCCTTAACCCCCGTGTGTTTGGCTTTTTTTGTAGTGAACATCCGCTGATCTTAGAAATGTGATCCTAACTCTTGTGAATTTGACAATTTTTGTACTAAGCACCCGTTTCTTTTGAAAATATCATCAATTCAACCTTCAAATATATCAACAACTCATTAATTTAACCTAAAAAAATATATTAGTTTCTCAACATTGTTGACAGATTTTGAATGTTAGATTGATTAATTTAGATAACTAGTAAAGACATCGTTTCTTTACAAACTTAAATATTGTAAAATGATCTAATGTTACATAAAAAAAATGAAGGTTACGATCGTATTTCTGAAACCAGAATGTGCTTACTACAAAAAAGACCAAACATACGGCTAAGGCCAAACATAGGGGGTCCTGCTAAAAAAAAGAAAATTAAATTAAGAGAAGAATTCTTCAAAAGGTCACAAGCTCAAGTCAACAAGTATTAATTAAAGATTGTTGCCCAAATCTAATGTTTTCATAAAGGGTCAAAAAATAAAATGTGGTGGCTAATTAATGCTTCAATAAAGTATATATTTAATGAAACTAAAAGTATTCCAAGTGTCTACTATATCAATGGTTTTAACAAGTAGAGATACTAAATTTAAACATTCCCAAATTAATAAAGTCATAATTCCTATTATACAAATTGAAATTTTAAGGGTCTGTTTGTTTTTCACTGGTTTTGAGGAATTTTTAATTAGACTAGTTTTAAGGTGTTTAAAAACTATTATTTGCCAGATTTTTTATGGACCAGTTTTGACAAGTTTAAAAACTCCTCAAAACCAGTATAATGCATTTTTGAGGTGTTTATAAAACACCCAAAATTAGGGTGTTTTGACTGGTTTAAAAATTTTATCCCAAAAAAACCTTTTTCCACTATTATTCATAAATAATAATCTCTTTGCTGGTTTAAAAATTTCTTCAAACCCCATTCAATCTTCAACTTTTAGATGACTGTTATAATGCTTTTGAATCTTTCATCTTAGGCTTTCTAATCCTTCATTAGAGATATGAAGGTTTTTCTTTCTTTCTTCTTCATTTTCCCCTTAAACTTTTTGTTCTTTTAATCTGGTAAACTCCTCTACATGCTGTATACAATTTAATTGCATTTTTTTATCGGTTGTTTTATAAAATTAGATGGTTTTTCCTCTATTTGATTCTTTCTATTTGCGTTTAGGTGATTGATTGAATCCTTATTAGTTTGTTAAATAAAGATTATTTTTTATGGCTTTGCTTCACTGATTGAAGAAAAGAACAAAAAACTATTTTTTAGAAATGATGTTGCGGCTGTTATATTGATAATTTGCGAAGTTCAATATTGTGGCAGCATATTTATTCTCTTAAAATGACAGATTTCGAATCATTGTGTGATGAATTAAATAATATACAATGAAAGAACTTACAAATAAATTAAACTCGGAAGGAACTTTGATACTAAGTATTGGTAATTGAAAAAAAAAAAACTCTCAAATATTGGTTGAAGTTGGGGTATTTTTATAGGTATATCTGTAAATTTATCATTTTGAAAACTGTCAGAACCGTTAGAAAATAAACTCCTAAGCATAGGTTGGGTGTTTTAAAAACCGCTACTAAAAACTCCTCAAAACTGCTACGAACCTATGATGGTTTACCCTCATAACCGTTACCATAAAACTCTTAAACAGACCCTAGGTAGTTTATATTAATATACTAATACGAATCATAGGTAGACTTGGATAACTGATTATAAACAAGACAATATTTAAAATATATATATTATACATACGTTGTCGTGGCATCCTCTCATTGACGGGTTATATATGCGTCGATTATACTAAAAACATTTTCCTATTTAACATATACATATAAACGCGTGTCGTGATTAATTGATGGCATGCGAATAAGCATAAATGTTGATTGACAAAGAATTTAATCATGCAATAAAAAAGGGCATTTTGGGGAATTCCAATTATGGAACAAAACAAATTCAGAACGAGACGACCCAGTTTCCCAGGTTAGCATAACTTTAAAAAATTCAAAAATAACTTGAGATATACACCATCGTCACCACCACGGCACCAACAACTCAATCCAACTAAAATACCCACCACCAAAAAGGAAGGACGATCATTCATTGCTATCATCAAAGGAGGATGTCCGAACGAGGCGAAGACGACAACGACAACAACAACAACATCAATTTACTTTCCCAAGAAAATAACACCCTCTTGTTTTGCCTCAAGATTCTCTTCAATTCCTTCGAAATTTTTCCGGTAAACAAACAGATCTTTCTTTCCATTTTTACCCTCACCACCCTCCCCCTCTCCTTCCTCCTCTTCTCCGCCTCCGTTTCCGCCCAACCCATCAAGGCCCATGTCTACAATCTCGAAGCGCTGGCCCAGTTAGCCCCCACGCGCTTCGAGGGGCGTCATCTCTGGAAGGAGTCACGCGCCGACGCTTTGTCTCTTCTACACCTCCGATTGTCTTATTTCCTCCCGTGCTATGTCCTCTCTCTCATTGCAGCTGTGTCCGCCGTCCACTCCGCGCATTCCTCTGTTCACGGCAAGCGCTTCAGCCTCCTCACAGCCGGTTCCCACATTAAGCTGACGTGGAAACGGCCGTTGGTCACGTCGATTTGCATCTACGCTGTGTTGGTGTTGTACTCGCAGGTGATCTTTTATCTAATCATCATGATGGGTACCACACCCCGGTCGGGTTTTTTAATATGGGTAATCGGGTCAGTTTTCGAGGTTTACTTAATGGCAATTTCGGGTGTCGGGTTGGTCGCATCGATATTGGAAGAAAGATTCGGGTTCGACGCTATCAGAGTCGGGTCGGATCTTATGAAGGGGAGGAGAGCATGCGGGTGGTTGTTGTCGGGTTGGTTTATTTTTGTTTCGGGTTTGATCGGGTGGGGATGGCAGAGGTTAATAATGGACGAGCAGAATTTGAGTAAGATGAAGTGGACGGTGTTGATGGGGAGTTGGGAGAAAATGGGGTTAATTTGTTTGTACGGGATTGAGATGCTGTGGAGTTTTACGGTAACCACGATTTTTTACTGCGAGTGTAGAAAACGACATTCAATTAGAACAGAAAATGGCATTGACATGCAGGAAGTTACAGTTTAATAATTGTAATTTTTTTTTTTTAATTTTTTACACACACACATATATATATTATACCATTTTGTGTTGAATATAGTAGAATCAGAATAACATTTCATATTATTATTATTTTTAAAAATTTTGAGATTTTAAGATGAAATTTTTATTTTTAATAATTTGGGTTAAAGTTTAAGTGGGGTTTTTTTAACAATGGGTGTGTTGAATTCCACTATATATGAAAGTTGGATGGTGACATATTAGGTATTTTTAATTAATGAGATTCTTTTTTTTTTATATATATATTTTATTGCCCCTCATTATTATAAGGTTTCATTACCATAACAAGGTTGGTGATAGCGAGGAAAGGTCAGTTGAAAGAATCAAAGCATTAGATGCCTTTATCACATTATATATTTTAAATTTGATCTATTTAAGTTGCTAATAATAGTGACTACTAAGAGAATTTATTCGACTGTTAACTTCAGGATTTCGATAGATTAGTCGAGGTATGCGCAAACTGACTTGGACACCTTAGTCATCAAAAGAAAAAAAATCACTAATATTTATCTGTTTGAATTATATCTAAATTCTTTAAAATGTTTATGGTTCAAGAATTGATCCCAACTTTGAAAATGGTGGAATATTAACCCTAATGGGGGAATATTTTATTTTTTTATTAAAAAAAAAAAGAATAAAAATGAGAACATTTTAAAGAAGTGGTATATTAATAATTTTAATATTCCCTTCGAAGAGATAAAAAGCTAGTAACTAGTAAGTGGGAAATGAGCCCATTTTAGTCTTTTACTTTCTTGGAAAATGGTAGAGAAAAGCAAGTGTGTTCATCAATCACTAACTTTAATTAAATATAAAATAATTATTGGATTTAATTTCAAAAGTGGGTTAGAAACTCAGAACCAGGTTGAGTTTAACATAATTAAATTGGGTTGAAAATTTAAATTTATCATACTGTAATAAATCATAATTAAATTGGAGCATATAATTAAAAAAAAAAGTTGCGTGCCTTTTGAACTTGTTTAAAATGTGTTTTTAGTGTTTTTTATAAAATAATAAATAAATAAATAAAAGTTTCTAAAAGTACATAATATTTTATAAAGTATGTGGGTAGTATATATGATCTGAATAAGAGCACATTTTAAACAAGTTCAAAAATGAGATCACATTTTAAGTGTTTTCTGAAACAAAAATGAGCAATTTTATTCGAACACTTAAATATAAAATCAATTTTTTATTATCTAAAAGGCTTTTTAAAAGTTTAAAGCACTCACGTTTTGACTTGATCCGTCTTGACAATTTAAAAAAAAAAAATATTGCCAAAAATCCAATAATATTATTGATTGTTTGACCCTATCAAAGTCTGACATCAATTAAATTGTAATTAGATCTGGATCTTTAGCAGTTGATAAAAATATTATTTAAATAATGACACTGACAGCGAGACCGAGACCGAGACCAAGACCAAGACCAAGACCAAACATATTTAATTATTTCGTATACATTTTATAAACAAGTTTTTATAATTGTACTTTTAACATGAGAGCTATATTAACCGTAACTTGTATTTGTCAATAATCTATATACTCTATAATCCTTAAGGACTTGCTATTTGGACACCACATATAACTTTATAATTACGGCAAGTGTCAGCATGTTATTGGTTTAGACTATAATTAATGCATGTTATTGGTCTAGGCTATTTGATATAACTACATGCATTCAATGTTTTGTAGAAACACTTTCCATTCACATTAAATGTTTTGATGGTTATACATTTGTTTAATGTTTAATGGGATAAATATAAACACTTCACATTCATATTTATTGTTTTTAATGAATTTAGATGCATGAATAGATATGAATATAAACGGATTGATAAAGTGTATTATTGATTTTCGTGAATGTGAAAAAATACATTGTATTAGTTATAATATATATATATATATATATATATTTTGTTACATAATTTATCTGCCAAAAAGAGGTACTCAATTTTTAATTCTTATTTGTAATTGTTTTCTTTTGATTTTTCCAATTTATTGTTAAACTTTTTATTTTGATTTCATGTAGTTATAAACTTTTGGTTGGAACATAAAATTAGTTGTTGTAGTTGGAAATTAGGTGCTATTGAAGGTAATATATTCATTTGACTACGCTTATTTAATTGCTTGGAATTTATTCGCTATTGTATTGTTATATTCCTGTTCAATTGCTTATCATGTTTGGTATATAGTTTTGTTTTCTTTTGTTTTTTTGTTTTTTTTTAAAGGGTATGTAAGTTATTGTATGTTTTTGACTATTTCATTGTTTTAGTCCAAATGGTGAATTGTACATCCCCTTACAAAATTGTTAGATCAATTTGCCAAATCGGTAATTTTGTTATTCAATTATAACAAGTTATAAGGAGACATAGGCGGACCATTATGAACAATTTATTTGTCAACTGTTGTACTGAAAAAATTTATGTGGTGAACAATTATGATCAATGGTTTTGTTGCTATTTGCTGATGCTTGTGCCGAAACATTTTTATCATAATGTTGTTGACGATTGTATTCTATAACTGTAGTCACTTGCCAAACCATTCTGTTTAATTATAAGAGTCGAGATGCAAAGCTATTTAGATTATACAATACAATTACAATAGACCATTTGTCGAACATTATCCATTAACAATTGTAATAATGTAATGTCCTTTTTAGTTAATACTATATGAAAAGTTTATTTCATGCTATTTATCATAATTGCTACAAGGAACTTGCCGAACAAAGTACGGTCAATAAACATATCAAAGGAAGATTGTACTATAGAATTACAAGAGACCAGATGCTGAACCATTATTCATTTTACTATAGAATTGTAACAGTTAGTAATAAATTGGTCATAATTTGCTCAATAAAAATCTAATAGACGAGTGGTTTGAATCTTAGTAAACTAGACAGACAAGGCTTGATTGATATATTATATGCTAAATTTCGATAATCGTAGACCCACTGTCGAACCATTCATTTTATCATCACACACATTTCGGTTTCCCCTATTTCTCGGTTTCCACTGAACAGTTAGTAGTAAATTGACCATAACTTGCTCAATAAAAATCTAATTGACGAGCAGTTTAAATATTTGAAAACTAGACAGGCAGTGCTTTAATTTGATATATTATACGTTAAATTTGGATAACTGTAGACCCACTGCTGAACCATTCATTTTATCATCACACACATTTTGATTTCCCCTGTTTCTCAGTTTCTACTAAACAGTCAATAGTAATTTTGCTATAACTTGCTCAATAAAAATCTAATTGACGAACGATTTGAATATTTGGAAACTAAACAGACAAGACTTTAATTTGATATATTATACGCTAAATTTGCATAATTGTAGACCCACTGCCGAACCATTAATTTTATCATCACTCACATTTTAGTTTCTCCCATTTCTCAGTTTTCACTGAATAGACAGTAGTAAATTGACCAACTTTCTCAATAAAACTCCAATTGATGAGCGATTTGAATATTTGGAAACTAGACAGACAAGACTTTAATTTGATATATTATATGCTAAATTTGAATAACTATAGACCCACATCCGAATCATTCATTTTATCATCACACACACTTCGGTTTCCTCAATTTTTCGGTTTCCACTGAACAATCAGTAGTAAATTGACCATAACTTGCTCAATAAAAATCCAATTGATGAGTGGTTTGAATCTTTGAAAACTAGACAGACAGGGTTCTAATTTGATATATTATATGTTGAATTTGGATAATTGTAAACCCATTGCCGAACCATTCATTTTATTATCACACATATTTCGGTTTCTCCTGTTTCTCAGTTTCCACTGAACAATTAGTAGTAAATTTGCTATAACTTGCTCAATAAAAATCAAATTCATGAACTATTTGAATATTTGGAAACTAAACAAATAGGACTTTAATTTGATATATTATACGCTGAATTTGGACAATTGTATACCTACTGTCGAACCATTAATTTTATCATCACTCACATTTTGGTTTCTCTCGTTTCTCAATTTCTACTGAGCAGTCGGTAGTAAATTGACCAACTATCTCAATAAAACTCCAATCGATAAACAATTTGAAACTAGACAGATAGGGCTTTAATTTAATATATTATACGCTAAATTTGGATAACTGTAGACCTACATCTGAACCATTCATTTTATCATCACGCACATTTTGGTTTCCCCCATTTCTCGATTTTCACTGAACAGTCAGTAGTAAATTGAACATAA